AAAAAAACCATAAATCACTGTTTGATATATTATGTGACACATTCCTGGTTAAAGTGCTACTCGATTCGTTCGAAACTTACCTTGCTTTTCAAACGGTTTTTGAGGGTGGCTTTCTTACGCATTTGTTTATGGACTGCAAACTATGCCATACGAACTCATCGAGACTCAAGTGCGCTTAGTTTTCCGATTGTTTTGTACGCTATGAAAGGTTTATCCGTGCGAACTGGTTCTGATGTCAGATAGTTTACTGCGTGCGGGAAAGGTGGACTTATGGTTCCAGTCTTAACTTGTTTTTTTTTTTTTCAGCTTCCGTTGTATCGCAACATGGAGAGAGAGCGATGTAGCGCACTTGTGCCGGACATGCCAGTTCGTTTCTCCCCGGCTGCATATTCGCCACCACCGTCTGCTGGCGAGAGAGTCGAAACATATGGGCATAATTATGTTGGTGTAAGCCTTCTACAGTTATCAGGATATATACGGCCAACGTATAATCGCGCGTGATAGGCTTTCTGGTGGACTGGTGAACACTCTGTGGTTGCTCAGGATTATCTTCGGCCGCTGGTGCTGTATCACGAAACAGAGATCTTTTTGCAGGAGCATGGCGGTAGATTGGAAAATCAAGTGCGAACAAAAAGTCATATAGTAACAACAGATCCGGTAGCCACTTCGACGCCCGTCGATGGCTCTCCTGCAATAGCTACACGTATGCAGAACTCGGGAAGCTATCTGCTGAATCGAAGCGGCATTTCCTCAATAACGGCCTGTACTGCGCAGGAGTTAACGCAGAGCCAAAATATCGAAATGAAACTACAGGTCGAATTGCTTTGTCTTTTGCATTTTTCATGCCTATTTGTTATATCGAGAAACTGGCCTTCCGTTACAAACCGCTGTAGTGAAGTGAAGCTGAGGTCGGAGGAGGCGGGGAGGGGGGGGAGGGGAAGGCTGCAGAGAGACTAAAGGAAGTTTCGAAGTAATCGAATTTGGTGTGGCAAAAAGATTAAGAAACTATTTGGGAATCCTTCTGAAACCCTTTTGAAGTGAGAAGCATCATGGTTTCTGTAGTTTTTACAGGCTGCTGGATGCTTTTTTGATATGATTTAGCATTTTGCGTTAATTCTATTTATCGCTTCAGGGTTAACTTTATTGCTTTAATTTTGTCGCGTTTCGACGATTCACTTTTATCTGATTTACTTACCATCACTGCCAGTTGGGTTCATCTTTTGTGACGGTCCTTATGCTTGTATCTTGGGGTAGCATTTGCAGCCGCATCCATTCTCCTCGTTTTTTTTCTGATTTCGATTATTGAAGTGCTAAATGCTGTTATGCTGTCAGCACGACTTTAAACTGTGGCGTTACGCAAATTTGGCCAGGTTGTACATTTCGGTTCGATCCACTGTGTTGTATGTGTTGCTGTTCTTTGTCGGGGGAATTTTCTTTCTGGTAGGTGGTTCAGATCGACAGAGTTAAAGGACCTGCCGATAGAAGTCGTGACGGGATACCAGAGACTCGGTACACGGACCGCAGTAATTTCCGCGCGGGAAGGATCCGAGAAGTTTGGCGGAGGAGAATCGGAGCCGCGAAGAAGAATCGGAGACGTGGAGGACCGCACTCGCCGTCAGCCCGCTTCCTTCGGTTGAAAATTCCGGAATGAATAAATGACGGGGCGGTCGCGGTTTGAATCACTCTATCTTATTTTCTCAGTCTCCGAAAACACGCAGAATTGAGATGCGACAACCCAAAAGCATCCCCAAACACAAAAGACGAAAACTTTTAAGATATTGGCGGCGATAAACGCCGCCACGATTCTCAGAAAACGTGTTATCACAAATGATCACTAAAGTGCGTCCTCGGCTACGCCGAAATTCTTGGTATGTAATACTGGGTTCGTGTAGCTCACTGGAAGCGTAGTTCTCTCATTTTCTGGTCGAAACCGATTTTTTTTAGTCAATGAAAGAGGGGATAATGGTACAAGAAGATCAGATATCGCAGGCGATGTTGGCATTGCTCCATTGTAAGAAGAATAACAACTTCAATGGAAGCCTCGTAGAGGTTTGTTCACTGAAACTTGCGCAGTGTGAATTTATTTGGAGAGAATTTTGGGAATGAGAGATTTTGATGTCCCAGCGAAATGGGAGATTTCTAGTCGGCTTTATCTTATTCCACTCATTTATGCAAGGGGACCGGGTGACAACATGTGATAGACCACAATTAAATTAATAGATTTTTTTTGCGGGGAGTTGAGGGAGAGGAGGAGGGGGAATGACCCAGTAGCGGGAAGTAGGCACTGTTTGTCTTGCATTGGCCGGAAGTTCGTTTCTGTTGATGGTACCATCAAATCTTTGACGGTTTGCTCATTCGTTTCGATGGAAAATTGCAGGAAGTCAATTCGTTATTAGTTCGCTTACGGTTAACCCTCGAAAGAAGGGGTTACTGACAGCCTCGCCGACGGGTAGCTGGTTTTGGCATTTCCAATCTCTGAAATATTTCCGAGTGCTTCCTCTTCTTGCAGGGAACGAACACGAAAAGAAGTGCGAAAGGTCGATTAGAATTTAGAAGTTGCTATCTCAGCTAAATGACTTTATTTTGAAAGAAAAAGAAAAACGGGGGAAAATGAAAAGAATGGCTCCATTTCAGCTTGAAAATATTATAAGATGCGCATTAAAAGCCTCGCCTTGGGAAGCACTACTAGTGGAATTGAAATTAGCTACGACGAGAATTGCCTTCACTCACTTATACGGCTGCTCCCCCTCGCAAAATGCTGTTTAAAATGTGCGAAAAAAAAATTATATTGCGTTTTAAAAATGTATTTATTGGTAGTGTTTTCTGTTGGGAAGCTTTTTGGAGATATAAATATTTGAGAGTGCTAATATTGTAAATTGCAGCTGAGTGCGCAACGAAGTTTGCTACTTGCGCGAGAGCGACTTCTGGCTCTTCAGAATGAATCACAGCGTCTGCGAACTCTGCAGCTGGTCAAGAAACCGATGCCCCCGTTGGCGAAACGTATGCGAGGCGCCATCGATCTCACTTCTATTAATCTCTACCTCAATCGCAACTTTTGTGTGCGCAACACAGACGAAAGTATGTCTTTTCTTCTTTATAACAAAGCTTATGCAAAAAATGTTTCTGCTTAAGGGTGCTGGGTCTGTGATACATTGAACTGGTTTTTCGTATCAGGACCTTGAAAGTTACTGAAATCGGACAATTAGTGCAGATCCGACATGTCTTGGTGCGGGATTATATGTACATGCGAAATGTAGTTACGCCAACTCCTTCGTTTCCAAAATGCATGACTTCAAAATTTTAGTTTTTTATGCGTTTTATTTTCGAGGGCTTAGTTAGTGGTTCTGTGGACTAGCTGGCACACTTCCAAGCAACATTTTTTATAATTTTGCATTTTGCGTGTAACGGCATGTAGCTCAGGATATCGAAGGGCTTGGGTTATCTATGCCTTGCGCATGAAACCATTCCAGTAGTATTATTAAGATGAGCCACTCCCTTTACATATTAATTTTTCTTTCTCTTCCACATACTAATTCCTTCCTCTTCTAAAAAATCCTCCTCTCCTCTTCACTCCGATTTTCCAGCTGTGAAATCTATTCTTTCCCATCTTCCTTCCCTCTAAATTCTCTTCTACTTGCATACAGGTTATCAGCATTTCCAAATGGTGGATTGGGGGCTGCACTGACGATTCCCACCCCAATCCACACCGCATACTGTCTGTGTTTGCAGCTTAGGGATGAAACACAAACAGCCAAGTTCACATTTAGCTTCCCTACAGGTCCTCCTTACATCTCCTGAACTTTTTATAAAAAGCATTCCACTATCTATTTCACTTCTTGATTTCGAGGACTTTTCGTCCATTCATTTCTCCATCGTAGTATTTCTGATGTGTATTTTTCATTAAGATTTTAGACGTGATAGATAGGGCGGCAGAGTACACGTTTTTGAGCTGCCCCTAATTTAGCTTACTTTTTCTCCTGACTATTGACGTATTAGCAGGCAGTGTCATCGTTCTGTTCGTTTTTGAACTCAGCACGTACAAATAATCCGAAATACGCTTTTTTTTAGTTTTGTTTGAATTAATGTCAAAAAAGTGATGTTCAGTATTCAAATTTTTTTTTTTTTTGGTGGAGGGGGGGGGGGCCTTGTAGCCAGCCCAGTTTGTTTGGAAGTACAGTGTTGCTGTTATGAGCTTGGCAAGTTCAGTTATTATATTTTAGACGTTTCGTATGCTTTTGTCATACTTTTGAAAACTGATGACCAAGTGGAGGCCACGCAGATCGTCTCACTGATGGATACACGAGCACTACGTGTTAGCAAAGTTCATTTCAACGAGCATATTCGCTTTACAAATCTC